TATTGTGGACCAACTACACCAACATGCCATACAGACTTGCAAATAAAATGTACTAAACTACCATTAGAAACAAAAAACTTTAACTGAAATGTGATAATTGACAGATCTAAGAATTTTGACTCTCCTCAGAGTTCTCAATAATTAAAATAAATTTGTTACTAGACAGTAGACATAACCCTAAAAACTGAAAAATGATGTATTATCATTTATTTCTACTCCGAAAAATTATGACTCCTAAGTGGTGATTAATAAAAGAGACAACACATCATTGAATAATCATTACATTTATTGCTCAAAAATTAGAAACTATATCGGGAATGAGCAGTGAACACTGAGTATGCTTTGAAAATCATTATAGTTATATAAATTATGGTTATCATCATATAGACATATARTTAATCATTTAGATACGGGAATTGTAGGAATCAGCAGTTTTTAAAAATWACGATATCGATATGGACTAGGGCAATTTTCTAACCATTATTGCGAGCTCACCGTGGTTTGATGAGATGGAAGGAATAGTTGAAATAATTGAACAAGTGTTTGGGTATTTGTGTTATAATTMAGTAATGTCTRAATTTATTAATTGATTTAACTTATAAAATTTAACAGAGTTGAAATAAAGAAATGTAGACTAGCGAGACGTGACTTGAATGGTAGCAGAGCAGTGTAGTTGTTGGTTGGTGGTGTCTGTTCGTCTGACGTGAGCTTGTCTCTCAGGYCTCAGCGTATCTCAACGACTTAGTCGATGGTCACTATCCCTGCTATTATGCCACAGAAGGTCAACACGGTGCGGTACGTGCCGGATGTCCCTTCTCATATATTATATTTACTGATGCAGAAATAAGAGCATCCGTTTGCACAAAAGCAATGAACAAGGTTTATTTTAATAATTATTCATACTAGTATTTATAATCAATGGTGATATATATATATTATATATATATATATATATATTGTCGAGCGACGTTCATGGTCACGCACTATTTATAATTATTATGTCCATAGGCGCGTCTCTAGACTACTTATAGGTCTATTTATTAACATCTTTTACGTCTCCAGACTAATTATAATTTATTATTGTCGTTCACTGGAAACAGTGGAAACATCTAAGACAGATGATACCACTATTTTATATAGACTTGTCACAGTTCGCTACACCATTAGCCATCATATAAATACGTCATCACATTTTTATATACGAATTGTATCTATTTAAATAAACGAAATAATAACAAACCAGTCTGTAAAAAAAATTTTTGAAACGTTTCAATTTTAATTTATGTAATATTATTCWAAAATTCTGTTATAAATATTTAGCCCGAATGCCCGATAAGTAGGTAAATGTAATCGCAAACAATAATACAGGCATAATTTCTTATCACTGAAGTACTTTTGATAATATTGGCTATAAACTCATAGATAATATATAATATACAATTTATACTTTATATAGTATGTGATAGTATGGACTATTTAACTATTAATTTAAGAACGATAAACGATTAACGATACTGGGGAAACACTAAATGATAAATTTATCAGTTAACGTCCAGTGTAACGTGTAATACTTAAAACAAACTGAAAGGATTTGGATTAAAGTTTACCTATTCAAACAATTWTCAAATATGGAGAGGATTCCCGAACAAATGGGTTATTTGATTATGACAATGGATGGGGCCGTGATCTCGGTGAGTAAAACTATAAGGAACTTTTTACTTGAAAATTAATTTATTATGAATACYTAATAGTCTATCCTTTATGTTTATATTACACGATATAATTGAATATTTCAGTCTGGTGGTGATTTAGAGAATAATGAAAATATTGCTGATATCATATCAAAAACAATCGGCACAAGTAAAAGCTTATACGTGCCTGATGAACAATTCCAAAGCATGTCAAGTATGTTAAATCAAAAATTGAACTGCTTTTAAAATTCTAATGTTTGGTTTGTTTGGTTTATTAATAGTTTTGTTTCAAAATTATCATTATTCTGTTTGTGTGTCAAATAAGAAAATCCATGTTTCCAAAATTAGACATGATCCCAATACATTAGAAAATGATGAAGTCAGAGTGATTACAGAAGGTTCATGATTGGGAAAATTTGTATATTTTTTTTATATTTAAAGAACAAGATAAAAATATCTAGATTATGTAATAATTAATATATAAGTAATATCATTTCACATTTGGTATAAATTGTTAATATTATTCAAATGTATACTTTTGTTTACATTACTATTATCAGTTAAAAATAAAACCATTAAAGATTCCCATAAATTGTTTTTGAAATATCTTAATATTTAAGATAAATCAAACTTGGTAACAAATTATACTCAAATAACCTAAATARTAAATACTAATTATAATATTAAGTTTTGTTTATTACCATATGGWTGATCATAAGTTGATATTTAAAACATGAACTTAAAAAGTGAAAATATATAGTATTGTATTTATATGCATTTTTTAAAGACAATTATCAATTAACTCTACTACACTATATA